GGTGGTTTTCTCCCCTTGTTTGCAATATAATTTCTTTCCTCCTCACCTAAATATGTGCTCTCAGTATTAAGAAACAACAGCAGCAATACTTGACACTGACTTTCACTTCACCAAAAGGTTATATAGAAACAAAAGCAAATGCAGAAGCAGGTTGATTTTTTTGTGTGGATTCCCTCTCAGTTTTGAAATCAATCACAGACCTGGCAGAAATTCAGAATTTCTAAAAATCATGTGTTGGAATTAGAAGCATTTTTCAATTTTTTTTCAAATGCTTTTTCTTGGCAGAGGCTGTGGATTAACTCGGCTATTCCTGTTCCATAGCAGGTTCATGAAAACTAAGTGCCTTTAGTCACACCTACATCACAGATGTGAACATACACAGCAACTATAAGAAAGCTGCCATAATACTTGGGTTGCCTGAATCCTATATCACAACCCTTATACCTCAAGGTCACACTATCCTCCAACAGCTTAATTCACTTTGGGACACAGAAATGCTTTAAATATATTTTTAATTATACACTATGTTTTAAATATATTTTTTCAAATGGCTGTGTAAGAGTAAGATTCATATACATAAAATGATAATACGCATTGTAACTCTAGAAAGCCATTATACATATAAGAGATCAGACTCAGAAATATAAATAAGAAAAAAACCCCTAGAAATATAAATAAGTGGGAAAAAAAAACAGATAAAGAAAACAAAGTGTTATGAGTCCATTTAAGATTTGTAGTGTATACGAAGTATTTCCAGCTGCGTGACTCTTGGGTTCCTTTTTTTCCCCCACACAAATTAAACAACAACTAATAAGCCCTTTCAGACCACAGCCTCACCAACTGGTTAGCAGGTGGGTGAAGTGATTCTGTCTCTCCTACTCAAGCTTAGAAAACTTTCCATCTGCTTTGTATCTGCATGAAATGTTCACAAATGTGAAGTAATACACAGTGGACTAAAAAATAATAAGCTCAAGAAGAAAAATAATGAACCTGATCAAAACTGGAAGAACTATGAACTCACTTCCACCCTAAAGATATCCAAACAACCTAAGGACTCTGTTATAAAAATGAACATCATGCTCAGAAAACAGGAAAGAACAGCAAGACATAAATCAAATAAAAATATCACGAGGTTGCGCTTTCGAAAACTGCATGACTTGTACAACTTTTTGTGTACTGAGTTCTGTTCCTACAGCCCTTTACAGAGCTAGGTAACTCCAGGCAGCCTGAAGGACACAAAACACCCATGTGTCTATAACCAGTGCAGGTCTTGTTAGCAAGACCTCAAGGTGGCCACCTGATTAAAAAGTGAATTTTGACAGGTAAGAAAGAAATCAGCCATACTCTGTACTTTACAAGGAATAGGAAAGGAATTTTCATGTGAATTCGAGATGAAACACAACACCAGGAAAGGTATTATGAAACGTTTGCTGTGCTGAGGCTACAAAAACCTTTTGTCAATGTAAGGTTCACAAGCACATAGAACGGTCTGTGAAGAGACGATCAATAAGGATAAAACTATCCCCTCAGGTATCAAGAAATTATTAGATGCCATGGATTGGCGAGAAGGGATAGAAAACTGAAAAGGAAATACAAAATTGAAGGCTTTGACTCCTCTCCTGTATTCCTATGAGGTATTAGTGTAAAATGTGCCTGGGCTATAGCCTGGAATCAGATGTACAGTCAAGCACATCCTTCAGTTGACGTCAGTTAACAGTAACGTACCAGAGGACAGGGATATCCTATGCACCTCCAGCAATGTGCTTTTAAATAGGATACAACAGTGCTGTGACTATTTTAAACAAACATCAGCTATAAAATCTGTAAGAAGAGACAGGCTTTGCATCTGCAACAGACATCGTCAGGTTAAACATTTTTCCTGACCGAGTATATTCTGAACACCTACGAGCATATGGTGGGCATAAAGCTTTAGCGTTCTTCCAGTAGCACCACAGACATGGGTAAAAGAGAGCTGGGACCTCTGTAATTTAGATTAATTGCTTATTACGGGTATGGGGAGAGGTGCTGCGGGAGTACTACAGCCTCAAATAACAACTGAGAGCAGTCATTTGAGCCGATGTAACCCTCCAGGCCCTCGGGGTTGAGTCACAGAGTGCTTTACCTCTGCAGCGACGCCTGTCCCTTTCCGGCTGCTGACAGTACAAGGATACCGGCAGGGATCTGACTGCGGGCCTCCTTCTTGAGGAGCTGCCCTGACTCACCGTCCTTTCATATCAGTTACATCTTTCTGCACGTAAGGCTACAGCGAGACCCAAACCCATTTTAAATCCGGCTTCTCATTTTTCTCTGTCAGTCTGTCAGAAAGCGATGCTGGACCTCCAGTGCTCAGTCCCTGGCCAGCAGCACCACTGGCTCCCGCTGCAGAAGGAGCACACGCTACCTGCCAGCAGTGCCTCTCTGCAGGACACGAAGAGGGTGTGGAGCTGGCTGCAGCTTTTCAGCCAGGTCTGAGGTTCGAGATTAATCAGTTTTGGCAATGGTTACATGGGGGTGATCATGGATTTCCAAATCTGCATAGGACTGCCCAGCACCTCTCATGTTGTCATACCTAATCCTTGGTCGTACTCAAGTTTAAGGATAGCCTGGGTTGGTCGGCAGACATAGACAGGGGCAGAGTGATATGGAGAGATCACAGGTCACGCATTCCCTGAACTGCAACAAATGCCTTCCCAGAGGGGAAGGGCTTGGGCTCACCCATGCCGGTGTGCCCACCACCTGGACCCCACAGCCCCGCATCTGTCAGGGGGGAGTAAGGAGCTGCAGAGAGGAAGAGATACTGCACTGCTTGGGCATGCAAGGGGTGCAAGGACGTAGCAGAGGAAAGGTAATTGGGAAGGAGGGAATAAAAATCACCTTCAACATTGCCCTCCTCAGAAACGTGCTCCACATCAAAGCCAAAGCAGCAGCCTGCCATGAGGAGCATTTTACTGAGAGCTCACCTAAAGCATCTGTGAGAAGTCCCCTACTGTGTTAGTTGCCTCCTTCCTTCCCCAGGCTGTGCCATGAGCAAAGAGCACGGCATCGTGGTACCGATGTGCAGTCTCTGCTGCCTGCGCCAGTAAAGCATATAATGAAATAGGAGCAAAGAGAGCAAGAGAGAGACGGGAGAGAGCAACACTGCACTGTGGGGCTCTTGCACAGAACCCAGCAGGCGCAGGCAGTACTCAGACTGAATTTGGTCTCCATTAGAGGATATCACCTTTTACTGGCTATGAACAGGTAAACTGGAAATGATGTTTTGTTTCAACATTGTTTTCATCTCTGCTGTGGTTCAACCCCCTAATTGGAAGGACAGTAAACAGGGAATATTTTGCTTCTGTTTGGAATACAAAACATGCAGCACTGGTTTCTGCAATCAAATCCCCAAACAAAAACATGATAGTAATGACTCCCAACTCCCTTATTCAGCAGATTGCTTCAGTATATCCCTACAAAATAATTGTTTTCACCAATCATTTGCCAAATGGGTGTGCAAGATGTTTAGAAGAAATATGCTTGACTGAGAAGATAGTGTTTAAACAGTTTGGGTTTCTTTCCCGACAATACTGGTTTTTTTTTTGTTTGTTTTCTGTTACCTGGCAGCTAACAGAAATAATTGCTTTGGTAAGCATGTTGGTTTACTATGTGTTAAATGCTCACCAATTAAATTATTGAAACGTATTTGCCGTGCAAGCAGTATTCTCTCATTATACATATTTAAAAGTGAATCCCATGAGTATGGCTTGCCTCCTCCTCCATCTCTGCCTTCTTTTTCACATCTCTGGAGTGGCAGTAGGAGGTAATTAGGATGGCCAGCCTCTAGCTCAGGATGCAACACAATGCCAGGGGCCACGAAAAGGGAGGGAAGGTCCATGTCACCTGCACAGCAGGCTGCAGTATCAATGCGGTTCTTCCCGCTGCCTTAGCTCCATTTCCCTTCTGTGCCTTCCCATTCGATTGCTATGGCGAGAAGTGTGCTGCATTACAGGCAACGGTCCGAGACGAATGTTTTGCTGTGTTTTTGAAGCCTGCCTCATGTCAAAGTCTGGTCTCTTGCCCACTGAAACACTCTCCAAGACCTGTGTCTGAAGCAGCAGAGTGCATTTCTCCCTGACTCTGCCTGCTTTGCGGACAGAGGATTTTGCACTAGCATTCATGCCAGAAGTAATTTTACACCTTTTCAGATCACTTCAGTAAGAGTATGGCATTTCGTGCATTATATAAACCAATTCACTTAAACCCTACTTAACCAAAGCTCTTATTTCACCACATCCTCATCATGTCCTTAGGGTGTCAACACACTCTTCAGTTACTCTCTCTCAATGAGATAATTCTTATCTCATCATAGTGATGTTCCAGAATGTGTTGAATAACCAGGATTATAAATGAATGTTTTTAATGCAATTAGGAATATTGCACAGGTTGGAAATGAATTCCTAGTTACGGCATTGATCTAACAGGGAACGTAAGTGCATTTTTAAATTTGTGAGTCCTACTGAAAGCAAAATGATTATTCATATGATTAAAGCTAAGATGACTTGTCAGAGCAGAGCAGAAGAGTGTAGGATATGTGTTTGGACCCAATTCAGAAAGACACTTAGGAACATGGCTAGCTGTAACCTATGAAACACTAAGCACTTAAAACACCACATAAGGTCAGAAGGAAAAGGAAGATCACATGATGGTCAAATCTGCCATCTGTGGTTTTCCCCCAAACCTCTGCTGAATCTTACAATGGGTTTCATAACCCTAGCATAACAGCTTTTCACAATTTGAATAAATAATAACAAATCATTAATAAAAATAACAGCAATAATAAAAATAATATTAAATCCTTCTCCCGAAGGAATATTCAGGAAGCTTTCTCTAGCCTTCAAGATTGCAAACAGCTATGGTTAAAAGTTGAAGAAGTGGGTGAACAAAGTAAACAAACTCTAATTATGGAAGATGAAGAAATCAAAGACATGTAATCATGTGCAATGTAAGATCTAACATGTCACCTTGCCGCCGCATTGGTGATTATTTTCAGACTGCTGGGATTACGGATCAGCTTATCCAGGATGCTGACAATCTGCTCAAACTTGGGTCTGTTGTTTCTGTCCTTCTGCCAACAGTCCAGCATCAGCTGATACAAGGCAGCTGGGCAGTCCATAGGAGGTGGCAAGCGGTACCCTTCATCAACAGCCTTAATCACCTGCACAAGGATAAAAGTTTTTGAAAACTTAAAGGCACTTAAATCTACTTGTTTTTATCAGTTCTGTGAACCACATTAACACAGACATTCTGTGTTTCAACAAATGTGTTTATTCACTAATTGTCTTGTCATGCAATGCCTCTGGTTTATCTGCAAAGTAAACCAGGCAGTAAATCAGGCATACAGAAAGGGGAGTTAAGATACAGAATGTGACTTTGAGGAAGGTGAGAGTCTAGAAAGGATCTCCAAAACTTACACTTGATTGAACTAAATCCGTAAACAAAAGCTACAGTTAGTAAGGTGCTTGCTTAACTATGCCAAACTTCAAAGGGTCTTGAATATCTCTCCTCCGATCGCCCTTAGCAACACATGCTTTCCACACTCTCCAGTGGACACTGCACTTGGCAGAAAACTAAAGTACCCTCTCGTGGGACATCCTGAACTGATAGATAGAAGTCTTCTGGACAGCTTTGGTTGCAATTGATCTCACAGGGCCAGAAAATATTTTAAAACCTAACCACGAGGAAAACTGTACACTTCCTACTAGGCAGTGCAGGCCCAATTCTTTTATCATTTGTCTAGATTGAAAAAATTTGTCTAGATTGTCTATCATCTGTCTAGACTGACAAAAAAAAAATAGCCCAGAATTTACACTGTGATGAAGCTTTTTAATACAACCTTTTCACCAGAGTATAACGCCTCTTGATCGGTCCTACAGTATCTGTTGCGCCATGAATAAAACCCCAATGTATTCTAAGTAGAAAATGATAAAGCTATATTCTGTTAACCTTGCCTTTTCATCTGGATCAGTTAATTCAAAAGCAGGAAAAGTATTCTGAGTCAGAACAGGGATAGGAAAACAGTCCATGGTTTAAATATCCATGACGTAGAGGCAGATAACTAGGTTAAATCCTTCTGTTTCCGATTTTAATGTGATATTATTAAAGGCATGCCACTACTCTATCAGCCTCCACAACACGATTCATTAATCTCCACAAACAATAGGAAAAACGTTCATGACTAATTAAAAGAAATACATAGTTTTCTGCAGAGACTTGCATTTCAGAGGTACTCATTTGAAAGGAAGTTTCCTTCTCTTTTTCCTTGTTTAACATAAAACGGTATAGAGAATGTCTGACTACAACTATGTTACTGACTTTTTTTAGTTTATTGCTAGTAATGATATATACCAACCCCTTGGAAAACCTATTTGTTTTAGTGACTGCACTTCAGAAAATTCGGTTCATAAGTAACTCCCATGGAATGAATCTAGGATTAATAAGACAACAGAAAAAGAACCCAAAATAGATATAATAAAAATCTTATTTGAGGAAATGTTATGCTTCTTACAAAAATACTGGGAGAGATCAATTAATCATTTGGATTGCAGGCTTGGATAGTTTACTAATGCTGCAAAGAAGCCTGTATTGGAAGTCTTCTAATCAGATCACTCTACTTCTCTATTTTATCCGTTGATTACTTCCAGAAGTATTTTGGTTTCATTAAAATCTCAGTAGAAATGCTTTGCTTCTCTTTTTCACAAGCTCCAAGAGCAATTTATTCTGTGTATTTGACGTTTACAGAAAACTTTTACAGAATATTGTACAAGTGGAACCAAAGGGGATCAACAGAAATTTAGGAGGGTTTTCTAACAATAAGCTAAGGAATGTAAAAGGCAATGACCTCATTGCAGTGGAATTGTTTGAATCATCCTGCAGAAAACCACCAGCATGATAAAATTCTCTAATATGTTCCTTCAGAGGTCCAAAATACCCTACTAAAAAGATGTTGGCTTTTTGTTAAGTTCATTAGAACTTCTACCACACCAGGGAAATTTGGAGATTCTAATTTCTACATCTTATTCAATGTCAACGTCAAAAACTCAGAGCCACCTGGTTTCATTATGCTTCGCTTCCTTTCACAGCTTGATCCTTTATTTGAGAACATAACTCAGATAACAATATACTCACATCCTGGTTGGACATCTCCCAGTACGGTCTCTCTCCATAAGACATCACCTCCCAGAGAACAATCCCATAGCTCCATGCGTCACTGGCTGATGTGAACTTCCGATATGCAATGGCTTCTGGTGATGTCCATCGGATAGGAATCTTGCCCCCCTAGGAGCAAATCAAAATAAAACAGTCCATTTAACTGTAATACAATGAATATAATTTTGTATGATTGATTATTTTAAATGAATCTGAGATTTTCAATTATTGTTTTATCAGTGTACAAACCAGCATAAGCTGGAAAATGTGCTATTGCCATTTATCATGAAAGCATCTTGTACGCTATAGAGAGTAAAATACATTACAGTGCAAAATCTACTGAAGCTATAGGTATAAAGTATAGTGTACATACTGCATGTTTGTACATATATACACATATATGCACATGTATATATACTTACGTGTAGCATAATATGCACAGATAATAATAAATGGTAAGTTAAGTGTGGTTGATTTTCAGTTATAAAATGTTCGGAAACTGGCAAGACAGTCATACGGCATTAAGGATGGAAAAAGCTAGTACGAGGTCCTTGCTAATATCCTAGATCCCTTTGCACAGCACAAGAGGGCTATTTGTAAGGCATTTCAAGTGAATTCCCTGTTAGTGTTTTCACCCCATGTTTTCTAGGGCATTCAAGGAAAATGAGGAGCCACGATGTTGCTCTGTTTCACTAACACCAAGCCTCCAATTGCACAAGGCAGTGACTGTGATCATATCCACAAATTTCCCATTCCAAAGCCGTCAGAGACAGTCACAGAAAGACAGATTCGGATGGGGTCATCTGTGCAGAGGGGAGAGTGCAAAAACGTCATCTGGGGAAGCGGTCTTAAAGATTTTTTACAGTCACAAGAGAGAGAAGCAAGCTATCGTTAAATGAGGTAAACTTGAAAAGAATTAAAGCTACCATTACAATTAATATTGTAGTTAAGGGAACACCTCTGTCTGATTATGGCCACCACTTGGTGCCATAGGTCAAATTAGTAACATGTACAAAAGCAGCCTCAGGCTGACTTTCTGCATTATGAGAATTAGAGGAAAGAGACAATTTCCAATGGTGGCAGCTTTGACAGAAGTTTTTAAGACTCTGATCTGTGAGTCACACATGAGAAAAGTAAGTCCTAAAAGACAGCGGTGCAAAACTTGTTACTTAAGGCAATTCTGGAGTGAATATATTTGAATAGAGAAAACTGTGATAGTTTAAAGTCATTTCCAGGTCCAGGGATGCACAGCACGTACAGGGATATATTCTGAAGATTTCACACTAGGCTAGCTATTTGAGGCACCTCTGCAACACCCATTATGCTACAGGCTGATCATACACCTATCCTTACAATAACCTGTATGGGAGGGGAGTGCTCTTATTTCCACTAACTAACCAGCAAGAAATAAAATGTAAAGATATTAACGCTTTGCCTACACTTCCATAAAGTGTACCTACACTGAGGGTAGCCATACACTCACCAGCTTTAGATTAACTAGCTTGCTTAACAATAGAAATGTGGACATTAGTGTTAATTAGAAGCCCAAATACAGCCCATGCTGGGGCCTATGCGTCTGTAATTTCATGGTTAATATTGCACAAATTTGATTAAATATAAGCAACACAGGTAGGCTTTACTCAGGCTGCAGTTTAGACCTCCAAAATGCCACTAGATACATCTTAGAGTCTTGGCAAAGGTCAGAGAGGGAATCTGTCTTGGCATACAGTTTTTATGGATCCCATCCTACTTAGCAGACTCCCTACCTTAACCAAAAGACAAACCTTCATTTTGCACACAACCCTTAAAATTAGGTAAACATTGAATTTCCACATTACTTGTGGACCAACAAACAGGACACACAAAATAAATAGCAGTATATGAAATCAGTGTTTCATCACAGAAGCCAGACTAGAGAGCTTGATGTCTCTCTCTTGCAAACTTGGAAATCTATAAGATTATGTCCTTTAGTCACAAAAAGTACATCGTATTTTCTATTCATTGTAAGTTTATTCACAATTCCCACTGCTGCTCCATAACAGCACCGAGAACATAAAAATGATTTTGATTTTCTCATACTCTATTGAGAAGCAATAGTATACCCAATTTACAAATGTCCAGGGTCCCTCAGCAAGTCCAAGGCGCAGCCAAGAAACAAGGGAAGCTCTCCTGTGTCCTAGTCTTTTCACAACAAATCCACTTACACTTTTAGATGTGGAGATGATAAAGAAATCAATCCCACTTTTTCAACCTTTTTTCTATGCATACTAGTAAAGTGAACTTTGATTTCTAATAAAGAATGTCAATGCCGGGGGAAAGCCATATCCTAAATTTACACAAGCAAAAACCCACCACCATGAACAGAAAGAGCTTCCAAATCAAACGTGTCCTGCTTGTCCCACAGGCTCAAAAGTCGCCTGCAAAACTGAGCAGACTTACAGCGCAGCTGCAAGGCCAAGGTGTCTGTGCGCTGCCTGCACAGAGGAGTGGGAAGGGGGAAGCCCGGGCTGCATGCTGAGGACGCCAGCCCTCCCAGCAGAGACCTGCCCACAGGGTGCTCACCCACCCCAGCCCAGCTCACTTGCCAGGACAAAACTGCCTCTATGCTACCCGAGATGTAAACTGCAAAGGACTTTTACAGATCAAGCCCAACCCCGTGGACAGCATCTGGAAAGGAATGTGCAGCTCGTGGGGCTGTTGGAGCCCAGGCACAAGGGGCCACCACCATGCCCCACAGCTGGCAGGGGCTTCTGAGCTCCATCCACCTGCCAGCGCTCCCACAGGCGAGTGTCTCCAGCAGGGACCAAGCCAGACCAACACTGGCGTTCAGTTTGAGATTAAATGTTTCAAATTCCTGGCCAGGTGGAGACATAAAAGAGGGAACTGTTGATCCTTGCTGCTTCTGACGGTAGCACTGCCACCTCAGACAAGCCCCAAGCCTCCTCTCACCTCTGCTGCTCCCTCCCCTTGTGCCCGGGAGGCATCAGCCGCTGCTGGGAAAGAGACCGAGCCATCTGATTCGAAAGAAACTGAGATACAGAGCTAGGTGTCGTCAGTGGGCTCATGGCGACGTAGCCAGGCTGGGCCTCATTATCCAGCAATTACTTCAGCTACATTTTGAATAGAGGGATGGCAGAACATACACCTACAACGTGCCACATAAGAAAGCCCCTGAGGCAGGGAGTACTTACGTTATTTGTCTTGCACCAGCATAATGTCTGGTTCTGTGAAACACAGAAGTATCATTTTGAAGTTCTCAGAATCTTAGTCTCTAAAGAATCCGAATTTCTGTGGGTGGTTTCAGGTTCGTTCTTTTAATTTCATGTTAAGATACAAAAATGAAGCCCTTCTTGCCAAACCCTAGAGAAATAATTGCCAGATGTCACACGGAAAAATGTGCTCGTGGCTAGAACGTGAGCACTTTAGGCAAGGGCAGGAAATATCATATTTGGTAGAAGGACTTTACCTTTATAGTCTTATGGAAAAAATAATTCATACAATCGGAGAAACACATTTACACAAAATGGCATTAATTAGTCTCCTAACATTTTGGGACTGCTTTATTGCAGGGTAAGGAAGATTATAAGCTCAATGAAACAAAGTTCTTTTGGCTTTGTTTGTTTTAGTGAAAAATGAAGGTACATCAACCCTAGATTCCATTACAAGGAAATAAATTTTCTTTGCTAAGTCTCAGCTGTAACTCTATGCAAGCCTACAGATACATGTAGCATTCCCATAAACAAGAGTAAAGTAAGGAGAGTATTAAAATGTAGCTAAAAAAGAAATCAACTGCCACTGAATAGTGTAAAACTGTAATTTTGCTATTCTACTCCCCAATTTGTCATAAAAATGTCAATCTTATCTTTGTATTTAAAAGGGGACTTTGTTGACTTGTGTTTTGAATAATTTAAGAGCAAGAACAGCAAAAAAAAGTTCTGGTAAATATTTTTTAGACAAATAAGCATTTTAACACAAAAACAATTCCCCCCAAAGCATTACACAACATTCACATTTTAGCAGATGTCCAAATAGCAATATATGCAGAATATCTGAAGAGTCGTATCAAACTAAATGCATAGTTTTCAATTGCTATTACCTTTGAAAATTATAAGGCTTGCTGTAATTCAAAGTCTATTTTGAAACTAAAAAACCTATGATCATTCAGCATTAGAAAATCTCTTTTCACTTCTACCACTTTTGAGAAATACACATCTCATTTGAATACATAGCATTGCTTCAATTTTCTGCTTTGCCAGAAATCAGGATACTCTTTGCAATATCTTTTGCCAGGACCAAAGATATCTTACATAATTTACCTTCTCATAAATTAAACCAAACACTTTCTCCTAGACCACAGAGCTGGAGCTGGGAAAACTAAGCTCCCATACTTGTTTCTTTACTTGCCTCTTGTTTTTTACTCCCTTTCCCCAGTCTCCCAATACTTAAAATTAGTATAATCATAGCTGCTCTGTAAACTGCTATGATGAAAGTGCTAAGAAATCCTACCTGTTTTGGTTTTAATTATGTATTGTATGTCCATCAGACTTTCATGCAATTTAATCTTCTTTATCTGCTATCTCTGTTGCTTATCCTCCACTGGAAAATCTGAAACTCTTAATATTATTGGCTGGTACTACTGGACTCCTACCCTTCAAAATTAGTACTATCGGGACTGAACATGTAAGACAAACTTGCTAAACAAAAAGTCATTATAGATATGCCTAGGAAAAAGGTTTGCCCAAATCTATTTGATACAGGCTTATAAAGAGAAATCTACATGTGCATGCATCACTAGCTATTGTAATATATTTACTGATTATTTTCCGAAGATAAATACAGATTTTATATATTTTTGTCATGGTATCCCTTTAAGGGCATGCTCATCATGAAGCCAAATAAGCTGCCTGAATTTGAGCAGAAAGAAAGCATTAGTATCAGAAACTGTAGGAGTTTGTTATTGCAGCTCAAAATCCCAGGCAGTCTAGGTCAGAGAACCACTCTTGGGGTTTGAAATTAGTGAGCCAGCAGTAACCGAAGGTTTTATCTGCTCTAGATGGAGCTGTGATTCCTACAGTATCTGGCCATTCAGCGTAATTCATCTAAAGTCAATGAAGTCCTCCATTTATTTCTAGCGCGTCTGGCGCTCTGGCACAAGGCAGCTTGTTTCCAGGCCTTCATAACCCATTCCAATATTCTGATTTATAATCTGTTACAGGGTGACTGCCACAAGCACCTAAGCCACAGGCCTGGGGAGAGGAGAATCAAGAAAAATGGATTCTAACAGAATTATTTAGAAGAACTTTGCAGGAAAACCTGAAGGTAAAAGCCTGACATTAATTCATTACGTGAGGACTTAGGCTAGTTCAGGAGATATCTTAGTGGTACAGAGCAAGATGGTTTCATGCAAGTGAGATGAGCCTGACTTATCCTCTTAAGCACCTGAAAATTACCTGATGCTACTTGTTCATCCCTTACTAATGAATATTTTATCCTGACATTATCTCCTTCTCGAGTGGTAAATGATAACAGAGCGCTGCTTCTCTCCCTCATGCTTATCAGGCAAGAGAATTTGTGAGGTTTTTTCTTTTTTTACCACACCCTTCAATACATTCAAGCTGTATTACTGTGTTTTTTGCATATATAGGGAATGAACAAACCACGACAAATTTCTGCCAAGCACCAGTTGCAATAACGTGTGCGTAACAGAAAGGACCTCTGTGCCCTTCCCTGTGGCACACAGTGGAGCAGCGCCCTGCTGTGCCCTCTCTGCTCTGGCACCATTACCTGGGGGCACGGGCCGCCAGAATACTTGCCATCAAAGCACGGTATTTTTTGAAGTAATGTAGATTTAACAAGAAGTTATCCATCCAAATATAATAACTGGACAGTATTTTACACTGAAACGCCATGAACACCAGTAATGTACCCAACTATGCATTTAAATAGTTAAAGTTCGTCTGCTGATTACCCAAATATTATGCCTTTGAGAGACATAATTACAGTCCCTCTACGTGTGTGATGGTTTAAATTTACTTCCACTTCATACTGTGTCATTAGTCCACCTACTTGTCATATAGACATCTAAAAATAATACGAATAAAAAGGATCAATTTGACAATGACAATTTTAATAGAATCTTGGCCTTTCAATTAAAAGTGAATAGGTACGGAGAACGTAGATAATTACAGTACATCCCCTCCGGCACAAAGGCTCAGTAAAAAAAATCCAAACACTCAGTCAGCCTAATTCACATGCTGGCTTCTGCTTCTGTAAGCAGGCAGACCACAGGCTGCCAAAGGCCTTTTGTAGTATCAAGTCAGTGACAATAATTCAGGAGGTGAAAAATGACCCTGTCAGATAGCAAAGTTTTCTTACAACTCTTGATCCCCTGTATTTCACATACGCACCTGTGATCTTTGCATTGTCCTTCAGAGCTCTTGTACAATAGCATCAATATCACAGATTATGTATTGATATATAAAGGGATACATACATTATTGATATATAAAAGGATACATGTTCATATCCTTTCTGCAAAGCTTCAGACACAGCTTCTGAGAACAGAACAACATAAAATGTCACCCAGTCAGTGGTGTGTATTGAAAGCCTGAAGGGCTGACTGGGCTCCTTGGGGGTAGACCAATCCCAAACTGCAATTATGAATTAAAGCAATGGAATTGTTCTCAGGCTTTGACATTTACAGGTGGAAAATAGAAGAGGAGGCTAGATACATAAAACATCTATCTTTGCAGCTAATTCTATAAATTTCCCTAGTACCACTGATACTAAATGGAGAACTGGGAGCGGGAAGAGGTGGAGGGGAGGCAAAAGTCTCTACCCATTAATATAATACGCACTCTTTACTGTTTGAATGTTTGGAATTGTGGTTATAACTTGGATTGTTTTTTCTTTTTTGTCTTTTCAAAGATCCTACTGAGTAGTTGTCATCCTTTAGTTGTAAAGGCATGAAAATGTTTGGGATGATGCCATTATTTTAAAAAGCGGCACTATTTTTGTCTTGGTTTTGCCATATAATTAGTGCCTGTGAAATGCACTAGGAGCAGCCTAGGAAATGGTCCTGTGTTTTGTGATAAGACTAAGCAGCAGGAACATGAACTGCCCAGCCTTCTTCCAGTGGACTGGAGCTCTGTTTCACGCTCGTGGTCCCCAGTTGTTTAAGCTGGGGATCAAACATACTCCAGGGACACGCTACCTGGACATGTATACAATATTCACTTCAAAGGAAACTTGAGCAAAAAGATGAATAGCAAATAGCCTTGTCCTTCTCTCAGAGTCAAGATGTGCCAGAAGTATATTCAGTAACTACTTTTAAAGAAAATTAGATTTGTCCTAGGTTTTATTTGAAGGTTTTAATTATCTAAGCATCTTCCTGCAGCAGTTTGCATATACACCATAAATGCCAGATGGAGTTTACTGAACACAGATGATTACACTTTACAAAATAGTTTCTTTCCATCTGATTTCACTATCTAAACGTAAATAGGCAGGTAGGCTTAGAAAATATGTGACAGAGAAGAGGAAGAAGAAGAAAAAAAATCAACACTGCACTTGGCCATAAGAAATTCACATTCAACACTGGCCAGAAACACTGACACCCTGTGCACCCTGGTTTGTCCTAGCTCACCCGTGGATGTAAGTCACTGACGTTTGCTTCATTTTCAGGGAAGCGTGTTTCCCTTATAAAGCTGTATGCTATGCAGTTTGATGGGGAGCTACTTTTTCCTCCCTACACAACTTTTTCATCTAAGTTAACTAGGACTCAAAGGTCTCTTCAGCTCTTTATGTGAATACACAAAATGCCATTACTAACTTATAGATTAGTTTGCATGCCCAGATGAATTTTGGACTAAGAGAATTGAACTTTGAAGCCTGGCAGAGGCATCTGTCCGAGCAGAAGAACGTGAGCCAACCATGTAGCAAAGCTGTGTTGGGGGTGCAAGGAGACATAGAGACTTCTCACCCATGGAGATATTAACAGAAAGGGCATGTGTAAGAAACGTGAGATATGCTATGCTTGGTACTAGAGATTAGTATCCCATTTTGGGCATCACATTTAAAGAAAATGTAGTTAACCTGAAAAGAATTTGAAGGAGACCAGCAAGAAGAGCAAGTTTGGAAAAATAGTTTAGTAAATGAAAGAATGGAGGGACGCCTGTGAAGAAGACAGCAATCTCCATGCATGTAAGCAGCTGCTTTAACGGGGAGATCGATCACCTGCCTATGGGCAGTAGTGGTAGGACACAGAGTAATTGCCTTAGCTTGCAAGTGTACATCCTGGGGGAGGGAGACTAAATACGAGACTAGATATAGTACTTATCTAAAACTGTTTACCTCGGAGACACTAACACCCATTACTTTCACAGGAGTTTTTAAGAAGAGGGCAGGCAAGCATATCTGACAAGGCAATAAACCTCTGGCTGAACTACAGACAATTTTCTCTTGAGGAACCCTTGCATTATATTAATATTTGCTTATGAATGCTGCACCTATACTAAGCATGAAAACTGCTTTCACCTACTAATGTCTCTTTATATTAACCATGAGAGATCTCTGCAGACAGTTTTCTAAAGTGGTATATATTGCATATTTCTAACAACATGCCAAAGCTTATCAGAGGTCAAATAAAGCACTGAAAGGTCAAGAAAAGAATAGAGTCTTTATGCTTGGTAAGTTATGAAGGTATGATTGATAAATATGTATCTACAAATGTATGTGTATATAATGTATATATAATGTGTAAGAAAACAGCTAGGATTTCTTTACTCATTTCTCACATGTTATTTTATTTCAATCATGAAGAAGGTAGCACGCAAGCTACCACAATAATCGATTGCTCCTGTCAGTGATCAGGAATGAAGGAAGCCCTAGAAAACCCACATTAAGATTTTGCTGATACATTCTACTCTAACCTGGTTTGTACAGTGGAGAGGAGACAATTACTAGGCATCACTGCAAATTACACTTGACTAAGATACTGGAGATTAATGCCACTTTTTCTAAAGTTAATAAAATCCACATGCAATAGGATTAAAGTGAACAACCACACATCCCAATGTAATATCTACGTACACAAAGCTAAACGTATGCCTTCAAGGTTTCCACAATAAAACAGAAGCGTTAGTCAAGTGAGAACAAGACGTGCAGCACAGCTGTATTTAGAAGACACTGTGGCTTTTCTAAGGCTCTAAGCCAACAGCGTAGCTTCCAGGTAGCTTTTCAGGCAGGATGAAATCCAGAAAAGAAACAAGCAGCAGCCTACACTATGGGCAGTCCCCTCTCTGATAAAAGCTTCTGTATCTCAGGACGAAAACAGTCAGAGGTAAGTCTCCTCCTTGATATCATTACATCTCCAAAAGACGGGTACCACTTTGTATATATGATACAAGAAGGAGAAAGCACAGAAGGTTTATTACATTGTTAAGCAAACTTTTTGTTTTACTCAAGTTTTTACTCAGTTAGGGGTACAACAGCAGGTATAACTGATACACCCTTGCAGAACAGTGATATCAGTATGCTCCAATCAGACACGTCCCATCATACTAGAAGACACAAAAAGGTAAAAAAAAAATATATATATATTATCGCTGGGTAGGATTTTTTTTCCGGGGTGAGAGCTAAATCAGAAGTGTAACAAAACCTGCTCAAAGCACACATGAAGTCTTACATTTTTGTGTGCCAAACCAACTCGGGCCTTAATTGTGGTATTCACTCCTTTGCACACACAGCAGAAAGAATCTGAGCCATGAACTTTGTATACTTTAAGAAAAATAATCTACCAACAGAAACCATATTTTTTGCCTCCTATCTTCCCTGAGACAAATTAAAAAATAGCTGTGATGAGTTTATGGTTTACTGAACATCTCCAGGCATGCAAGACTGGATGGCCTTTGCAACACAAAGTATAAGCCTCAGGGACTCCCTCAGATTTCAGTCTAACTTTGTCACAACCAACAAGAACTTTAAAAGGATAAACAAACTCAGAAACTCACCCTTGTGGTGTAAGCAGCTTCTGGGTCATCTTCCAGTACACGAGAGAGACCAAAATCTGAGACTTTGCATACCAAGTTACTATTGATGAGGATATTACGAGCAGCTAGATCTCGATGGACATAACCCATATCTGACAAATATTTCATGCCAGATGCGATCCCTCGAAGCATGCCTACTAGCTGGATGACGGTGAACTGGGCATCATGTTTCTGGAAAACATTTGAAATGTCATTTCAGAGACTGTTCATGTTCCTCCTTGCACAGAATTTTTCATAAAGACCCTTGAAGCTCCTCAAGTGAAGAGCTCGTGAGTCAGGGGTCGTGATTTAAATGCCACACGTGGAACTACTTTGATCTGCAGAGGATAATCTCCCAATCAGCTGAGGGAAGGGGACAGATTTTCAACCCAGATAAAAATTCATTTTTCCCATTCTTGCTGTCGTCAGAATTTTAATCTCCTAGATGGGACCTGTGTGAAAGCGGCACATAAATCTAAGTTGTGTGTGCTCATGAGACTGGAGTGTCAGGACATTAAGGAAACAGATGTCCAACTTCCCTGAAAGGCCATAGGAATTGTTAGTGAAAATCCCAGCCTTACCCAATGGACTAATGAAAGTTTTGTATTACACAAGCATTTTTTCTAACAAAAGCAAATGCTGATCTGATTCAGTGGCTTTCAAATTCCATTGAATTTAAACTCATTCCTCAACATTTTCCTCAACTTCAGGAACACAAAAATCACTTAAACACACTGTGACTTAGCCTAGAAACCAATAGTTGCATATATTCCTGATTGTCTACTTCTAGACACGTGTTTTGAATCTCCCAGCTCTTACTAATGCTGTTTGTTAACATCTAGCTTTGATATTGATATATAGATATATAGGCGACAGGACAACAGTATGTCCTAGTGCAGCTCTCAAATGAATCCCCCAGTGCTGTAAATATATCATCATGGGCAGCTCTCCAGCTCTTCCTGCTGCTTCTTCCAGAGTTTTATTAAATACATGGGAGCTGACTCTGCCATGTGGGCTGAGCTCACACGAATAATTCTGCAAGGCTGATTGCATTAATTTCATTTTTGATTAGTATACTTAGGGGTGATATTAGCACTGTAAACATTAGACAAATATATGGCACAACAGATGCCTAAAGAGCCTCTCAGAATTCCCTTTCATGAAGAAATTCTTTATTATAAAAGACTCTTAGCAGTTCCCTGTTATGAAACCTTCTTTAACTAGAGCCAACACAAGAGGATCTACATAGACCCTGGGAAAGATTTAGCTAGAAATCAGAAGAAGGTTTCTAACCACGAAAGGAATGAGAACCTGAGATAGCCTTTCAGTGGTGATGGGGAAAGCAAACTAAATAGTTTTAAAAGGCATTTATAAAAAGGGTTAATATGGCCTGGGTTGCCTGTGATTAATGAGTCACAAGGTTCCTAGCTATGATTCCACACAACAGTAGTAAAAAAAAAAACAAACCAAACAACCTCCCCCCCAAAAACCCCACACTCAAATGAACGAACAAGCTGAACAACTGTTTTGTACAGTCAGAAATTATTCTCCTTTCCTCAGAGCTTTCTTCAAGGATTTTTAGCCTAAACAAAATACATACAGTTCAGTACAGATATATTTCATTCAGATATACTGACACATTATTTATATGTATTTTACATGCTCCAGTGGACATCATAACATATATAGTACATACTGAAACTAAGGTTGACAATATATCCCCTTTTGGGGTTAAACATCTATTTCAGTGTTATGAATTTGGGGGATAATGTCATTCAACCGTGGCAGAACCAAAGCAGTCTCCCAGCCACAGCTGAGTTTGCCCTAGCAAATTAAAATTAAACTAGTGTTTCCCCTCAGATGGGATTTCATTTCTGCTACACTTCTTGTTTTGCCACAAGTAAATCTTGGTGACACGGGGAGCGTTCAAATTTTTTTAGGCTCGCTACCAACTTTGACAGAAAACAAAGATAAATCAACAACAGTATTAGTGTGTCTAAGGTTGGGGAAAGAAAACACGCCAATAAAGTTTGCTAGCAAAACATTTCAAACACCCTCAGGTATGGGGTTATTCCCTAAACTTTTCACATTTAGGGAAACGGCTCTTCGCTCAGTGCTATTGGTTTACTGACAAAATTTCCACAAATCCATTCACTTTGGAAATCGCTTGGTAAGACATACTGGCTGCCAACCAATAAGCATAACTGCATTACAGTAGTAATTCAGCCCTCAGAAAAACAATTTCTATTTTTGTGTGCCAGAATGTTGTTTTGGTTTGTTTTTTTATTGATGTGACATACTAATAAAACAAAAATGTTCTTCATTTTGCAATAATACTTACAGCAAGCAGTCAAAATGGACTAGCAGATCCCTACCTGGCTTTCTGAGCACATCACAATGCACGCAAAACCAAAGGGAAATAATGAAATAGCAAGCAACAAGAGCTGATGATGAATCAGAGTACAGTGGCAGCAAATTCAGAACAAGAGCCAGTCCTGCACCATGTAGTTCTCTATTGCACTTACCCGTAGGAAGCTGTCCAAGGAACCATTTTCCATATATTCAGTAACAATCATAACTGGTTTACCTACAAATATATTACAGGGGTCAGGCATTTAAAATGAATACATAATGATTGGTAAAAACAGGCATTTCAGAAATGTGCCCAAATCTTCCAAATCCCAAGGATAATTTTACTTTTAGAAAGAAAGCAAAAGATGCATGGGCAAAACCAGCTCTGTCCACGACATAATTGTGATTTCACTGACATCAACAGAAATACAGTCATTTCAGCATAAACTGATACAATCTTTAGCAGCTCAAGCCCCAAGACACAAAGTAAAGCATCAGCATTTTCAGTATACGGTGTCTTATCCATCACCGTTAAATATAATCCTTCATATAATTGTTGAATTTATGCAATGAAGTAGGTGCATTCTGCCACGCATTTGCCCCCAGGTTCCCTCTGGAAGGGAACTGGGCACTTGCTGTGGAGGGAGTCGCAGTTTCTCTCCAGAAATGCCCTGGTCTGCCCAACAGAGGTGCAAGGACTGTGAAGCAGTGCTCTACCGCATGGGCACAGCCAGTACATTCCTCAGATACTACGGTAAGGGAGAGATTAAACAGCGTACGTGGAGGCAATAGCAAAAAACCTCTCCCTCAGGAGGGTATTTACAATGCATTTAAATTGTAGAGCTTCAGTATTTTCCTAGCATAAGCCAAGGAAAATGTTGGGGTGGGGATAGAGATGGAAGGGAAAGTGCAGAATAAAAGTAATACTGGAAAGAAAAAAAAGCACTGGAAAGAAAAGCAGAGCTGTAACACAGCCACCTCCCACTGCTGGGGGTTAGCCCTCTTCCCAGGCAGTCCTGCCTCCCTCTGCAGCAGGATCACTGACAACATGAACCTCCCCTCCCGCCAAGCACAGCTTAGCGGGGGGCCGAACGCGCCGCAGCCACAGGGCAGCGGCGTGCTCCGAAGAAACAGCCCTGCATCCTTGAAAAGCCTCTAATATCTTTCAAAACTTGTCCGTGCAGATTCAGATCAGTTTGTGAGACCATTCTTTCTACCCTAAGGTATCCTGTAACGTAACCAAGATTTTATATGCAGCTCTGACATGTTGGAGAGAAATGAACGCAAAAATTAATGTGATTACGGTGAAGTTTCCAGACAAAGGTCATTGCTCTGCTAATATTTTACCATCATATGGATTTTATTATTTCATAATATTTTCTAAAGCTTTGTTTATTTTCTCTCTTTCTGGTAGAGAGAAAGGTGGGTAAGAACATGAAGTTATTTAAGGAGATGAATTATTATTTCACATGTAATACGGGAAGGCATCTGACCATAAAAGCATGACAAAGGCCTGCATATTGTATAGCAGGCATGGTGATATTTTAGCTTTTAAAATTGAACAGCATGAGGCTTGAAAGAGGTACCCAGTATAATTAAAAGCAAGAAAGCCATTAAAAAAGAGAAGTAAATAGTAACAACTCCTTATTTGTTTGTTTTTCAGAAAATACAACTTTTACCAAATAGAAATTCTTAGAAGAAAAATATTAAATTCAAAGAATGAGTTTAATATAATGAGAAGAGAATCATTTGTCCTCTTTACATGGATTAATGGGTTAAAATACCTTCTTTCTGCTGTGCAAATGATGTGTTATACTGTAGGAGTCACACTAATGGGTAATCGACTCTGTCATCCATTAACTGGTAGGAACAAACTCTTTATCCAAAACATTAATCTTGAATTATATAGGATATGATACAGATAAAAGACCTAACAATGTAAAATCTCAAAAAAAACTATTGCTTGCTTACTCTTGTTAGCAAGAAATATGCAGTGCAAGGAAAAGTACCTAACTTATATCGTGTATGCAACATTAACGCAAACCCATTTCTGGTAACGCACAGAAAATGCTGCTGGATCTTTCAAGTAAAGGGCAGCGCACCGATGGGGCTATCCAAAACCTTCTATCATAAATCCACGTAATCTGAAACCAGGAGACAGTTGCCTGGTTTCTGTATAAACTCAGTCAATTTTATGACACATCAGAAGTCTGAAATTAGAGTAAGAAGCTACGTCTTTCAAATTATTAAGAGAGCATCTTCCTGCCTTGCCCACTCATACTCAGAAAGCCCCAAGTGCAGGGTTTCACTCTCGTTCAGTTGGAAACGCGTCCATAATAAGAAGCATATGCTCTGAAGCAACACGGTGCACTTTTAAAAGAACATTCTGCATTCATTTATCAAAGCACAGTCGTTTATACATGATAACAACTTGTGTCAACAGTGTTGCCGAAATTTATTATACTAACAGGCTACAAATTGCTGTAAATTATTAGTAAACTAAGCAGAACATGTGCGCTAGTTATTAAGACTCCTGCCTACAGCGAGCCCAGGAGACCGGTGTAGCAGGAAAATGCAGAACAGAAATCGGTGTGAAGCAGGGAACAACTCTGCATTGAAGCAAAGGACTGAAGTCTTATCTGGTGGGTGCACCTCTTTCATACCGCCGGTGGGTTGTCCCACTGGCAAACCGCAGCCACCCCAGCTTGAGCACTTCTCATACTAAACGGTCCTGTTATAAGGATCATGACAATTGCAGTTATTAGGAGTTCCTTCAGAAGATCTGCTTAGTATGAAAAGCTAGATCATTGCTAAGGGCCACCTGTCAAAAAGAATTTGGTTAATGAAGAAAAGGTCATCTCACCTGTTTATCATGCCATTACCTGTACTGAGAGTGATCCAGCAAATACTCCACAGGCTGACTGTACATAAACTAATGCTTTTGAGTGCAATTTAACAGCTATCATTAAAAAATATGAACGCTTGCTAATTTGTTGTTACAGTATATTGGTTTGTTTTAAAAAAAAACAAACCCCACAACCTTCTTGTCCTTCTATCACCCTACTGAATGTTGAAGAAAATAATCATCTTTACTTGCATTTATGCCATTTAATTTTACCCAGTAAAACGGATACAAATAGTTCCAGAGCAGTTTTCTCAACTCCTGTATTCAAGCTATCTGGAGAGGGTGTTGTATCCCTGAGGCTTTTATTGACTTCAGCTGGGAATTTTCAGAGCTTGCTCTCTCATACCTAAATGTGATAAGCAGCTGGCACTCCCAACCCCCCCCAAAACAGACAGCAGTCTGCTGTGAATACAGCTGAGTAGCAAACTTACTAATTGTCACTTATACAGAATACAGACAGAATTAGTAATGTACATTCAAAAGCAATGCACAAATTCCTGCATGTACAGCAATTAAATTATTTTCTCAAGTGCCACAGAAATACAAAATTTAACAAAATAGATTTTAGCTCAGCTGTGTACAGACTGATGCTGGCGTTTCTTGGGACTGCAAATGTTATTCTGACTGTAAAAGTGTGTGTCATTAAAAAGCAGGAGATAACTTGGATTTACACAGGCAGATCTGGCAGTCCTTTCCTAATGGGACTGTGAGACCTAAGCTGAAGAATAACTTCTTTGTTATTTAAATCAGCAAAACAGACTTTCATTAATCACACCTAGAGAAAGCATTATTATTGTAATTATGTCTTTTCATAACATATAGGGTTTTACATACCTTTCACTAGTTATTTTTAGACACATTCCTGTGGGTTTTTTATTTCATATAATTTGTTGCAGTAAGCTATGAAATTCTTTCATGCCTGTCTATGTTTGTGAAACCTTGAATCACGCAATTTTAAAAACAAGATTCCTTAAAACCAATAAAGCCATCTACTTGACAACAAAGTATTTGGCATAATTCTACCCAGTTAAACTGGAAACGTCCTCAGCACATTCCAAGCAGTTCACTGAAATGGCAAGGAGCTGCTTTGCTGGCAGAGTCCTCTAGGATGAACTAGGAAACATCCTACTGATTTTTTCCACCCCCCTGAAAAATTTCAGAGCATTCCTGAATCTTTTTTTAAGAATACCTCTTATAAAATCTTATTGGTCTCCCACCTAATAACTACTGCAGGACTTAGATCATTAAATTTATCACCTTATGCTGCAATGGAAATTTAGAAAGTCTCCGAATTTACGTCTCACAGAACAAGCCAGTTTTGGTACTTCATGCAACCTCTCTTTCCTACTACTATTTCTGGCTTTCCATCTCAAGGTAAAGGACAATCAGCAGCACAAGCAATGAGAGCCAGAACTTGCCTAAATGAGGCAGCATCACCAGCACCAAATCCCACCAGCTGCTCATAAGGAGAAGAGCATGCAGGATCTGAGTGGCTTCAAGGAGGCTACCATGGCTGCCATGGGAAAGCTGGGTAGGAGCTCTAAACCGACACCACCGTTCAGGAATGCTTGTTATAACTTGCTGTTATCTTAACGAAAGTGGAGCTGGAGAGGGTTCTTCAAATACGTTACTTCTCCAGGAAGGTACCAAGCGTGCGTGGAGTTTTCAATTATATTTTTTGTCTCAAAAGGAGAAGGTGATTTGTTATCATAAACATAGACAAAAACATGTTTTAAAAAAAACCCACAACCAAACCCACAACAAAAACACCCAAAGGCAGATTTAGAAAATGCCTATTAGTAAAAATATAATCATAGAATCATAGAATAGTTTGGGTTGGAAGGGACCTCTAAAGGTCATCTAGTCCAACACCCCTGCCGTGGGCAGGGACATCTTCATCAGGTTGCTCAGAGCCCCGTCCAACCTAACCTTGAATGTTTCCAGGGATGGGGCATCCATCCACCACCTCTCTGGGCAACCTGTGCCAGTGTTCCACCACCCTCAGAGTAAAAAATTTCTTCTTTATATCTAGTCTAAATGTACCCCTCTTTAGTTTAAAAGCCATTCCCCCTTGTCCTGTCGCAACAGGCCCTGCTGAAAAGTTTGCCCCCATCTTTTTTATAAGCCCCCTTTAGGTACTGATAGGCTGCAATAAGGTCTCCCCAAAGCCTTCTCTTCTCGAGGCTGAACAACCCCAACTCTCTCAGCCTTTCTTCACAGGAGAGGTGTTCCATCCCCCTCATCATTTCCGTGACCCTGTTCTGGACCCGCTCCAACAGGTCTGTGTCTTTCTTGTGCTGAGGGCTCCAGAGCTGGACGCAGTTACTCCAGGTGGAGTCTCACCAGAGCAGAGTAGAGGGGCAGAATCACCTCCCTCGACCTGCTGGCCACGCTTCTTTGGATGCAGCCCAGGATACGATTGGCCTTCTGGGCTGCGAGTGCACATTGCTGGCTCATGTCCAGCTTTTCATCCACCCTTTGACAAACATTATCAAATAAATAAAATCAATTTTACTACTGACAGCTTAAAGCCCCAAGATTTTTTCTGAGATTTTCACCAAGAAGTATAAATTCTAGAGGATCAGGATCTTTAAAATGCCTCATACTGGTGCATACTGAATATCACATGGAGTATTTTCCCCGCATGAAAACCATGTAGGAAAAAGTTAGGACTTATTTATTAATATACTAGTATCAGTTGCTGTAGCCAGGTAGGCTGTTCATTAATTTGTGCTAATGATAAAATCTAATGATTTAGTTGAAAGCAGAACATACTGCTTCAGTGCAGTTAGGAAACCTTAGGACATCAGACTCCATGACTTGTAACAGATTATCAGCAAGTGTCTCTTGGCCACTTTGTAGCAATTTGTAGCTCTGGAGTTTACTAAACCTGCCAGTTTATTACCGAGCTGCACTGTTATTCAAAAATGCTCCTTTTTCTGCATGTTCTCTCTATTTTTTTCAAGCAGATCATTTTTATTTCCCAGGTTTTCCCACCTCATTAACCTGGGGTACTGTTTGTAAGCTCTCGGCAGCCTGAGAGCAGCAAGACAGTGAAGGTCCTGCAGCTGCACTGCTGGCAATTGCCTCTGACACCATTCTTCATTGGATCCATCAGTGCGGGTTTAGCTGGTGCTTGCACATGGGTAATTTTCTTCCTGCTTTTGAGGAAATACATTTGCAAAAGCCAAGCTATGTGTTTCCACTGTTACCTCTTTTGAAGGATATTTGGTACATATTAAGAGGGTTCTAACATAATTTTTTCTGGAAGGGTTTGCAGAGCATAAACAAGGATGATTCAGTTTTTTATTTGCTTTTGCCCTTCCTTGAAAGATGAGAGAATCACAGAATAATTTAGGGTGGAAGAGACCTCCAGTGACACCTCCCATGCAAAACAGATGCCCCGTCATATCTTACTTTTAGTGACGACTCCCTCTAATCGAATGATATTAGGGTGGTCAAACTGTCCCATGATGCTTGCTTCTCCCAGGAAGTCCCTTCTCTGTTTTTCTGTGTAGCCAACTTTCAGGGTTTTGATAGCCACTGAAATTTCCTTTTTAGAAGGCAGCTTTAGGCGCCCGCTGCAAACTTCTCCAAATTCTCCTAAAAAGGTGGAAAAATGACAAAAGATGAAATGTAGTTATTTCGTGGGGATTTAAGAAAGAAGACTCAGTGTGCAGCAAAAGTCCCTGATGTTTACTGGTGGGCCACAAGCCGGAGCTCCAAAGGAGGCCTTCGGACAACTACTTAACGTTTCCATGCTTGGGTTCTCCAGCTGTCAAACTGGACAATGTCACTTATTTACACTGCATATCCAGATGACTGCGGAGTAGAGGAATGCATAAATGTCACCAGAAAATTCCCTTTTTGTTTCAGTTGATGCACTTTGAGGCAATAGTAGGAGGGCTAACTGATTAACGCAGAAGTATCAGAATAGTCATGCATCCTTGTGAACATTATACTCTTCATTTCTCCCAAACAGAGATAGGGCAGTTCTCAATTATTTTACTTACTTCAATTAAAGTAGAAAGATAATTCATAACAAAAGAATTTATCTACACAGCTGCAAAGAAAAAAAGAAATCCATACAGGTTATCTTTGTTCTATCATTATTCAGATGGACCTAATCACGCAAATATATACTCTCACTATGGGACTACAGGACCTGATAGTCCACCATGAATATTGTGCCCACTGTCTATTGTGTGAGATCCCTAAATAGAAAATGTCAGATATCACTGCATGTTTACTTTTATACAACGTGGTTTATCCTTTGCTATGTAACATCCACGAAGAGTTGGAAGCACAGGGAAAATTATCGTAGCATTCAAATGAGCAAGTATTAAATATGTTGACAAATTGCTGGAAGAAAACATCTCACTTGAAAATTTCTGTATTTAACTAATGATTACATAAAGCATATAAGGAAGTTTCAGTATCTTAAAAAAACATTTGAGCAGCGACTGACTTTTGATTCCCAATTATCTAACCCCCCATCTTAGATTTCATATGATATAATAACCTGCACATACAACATCCCAGTTAAAATTACTGTAGTAACTTTTTGTCTCCTTGTTTTAATGACAAAATAATGGAAATAATGAAAAATACAATAAAAACAGAGAATGGACAAAATATACAAGAAATACGATGGCTAGAATTGCTCTACATGATTATTTATATTTAAAGACAAGGAAAACACTTTACTGAACAGAGAAGAAAAGAAAGGTGTCTTGTTCTGTGTTTTGTTTTTTTTTTCTTTCAAGAAACTAGAGGGTGTTCCTGGAGGGCTTTACCACTCATTTTCCAATAATACATGCCTATTCAGGTTCTTGAGGTCTAAATATAAATAGCCCCTCATATGCCATGTTTTGTCAAGTGGCCTTGTATAGAAAGTTTGACTTGGAAACAAACAAACCTTACAAATCCAAATCTAGCTGGCATCATCTTTATGCAAACTGGGAATTTTGTTTTTATTTGTGAGTGAAACATTATGGAGAGAGTGATTATACTGCTTACATATGAGCTTTTCCCAACTTAACATGTAGTAATCCTAAATACAATAGCATTACTATGCCTCTAAAGAGCAAAGGCTCTTGGAGCTCATTTGCCCACAATGATTCTTTCTTTATCTCTGCAGCTGTTTACATTAAGCAACATCTGTGAAAACTAAAAATGACCAAAACCCACAGAAATAAGACATTTTTAACACGCAAATTTAAATCATGTTGCTCTTCACAGATTTAATGCTCAGAAATGTGTGATGGGTTGACAGCCCTTCACCATTGACTTCAGACGTGATACCACACAGGATACATTTTAGACGTTACATTCAGCCCATGTATCTGCAAATTGAAATTATTCTTTCATCAACCACCAATTCTTTCCTCTTGCCACCAATATGGCTGACAGTAGAGTCCATGTCCCATTTGTGGCACTGCAATTCAGGAATGATAAAAGGGAGTAATAACAGTGACCAGAATCTTAAAAGTCAGGGCTGTGTGTTTATGTTCAAAGCTCAGTGGATTGGTGTTATTTATACACAACAAGGAATGAGAAGAGAGAGACATGACAATAGTTTTGGCTTATCAAAATTATCGTTATAAATAAGATGGACACCGACTCCTTTTTCTATACACAAGAGGCAAACCAAAGAATAGTTGCAAATTACAATAAAGGTCAGTAATATCAGGAAAAAAATTCTAACAGTAAGGACACTTGGACAGTACAAAAGATTTTTTAGGGAGGCTATCAACTCTTTTATCTTGGAGATTGTAAAGAATAAGAAAGAATGGTACCTAACAAGTCCTGTTTTGGGCAAGGGTGTGGACTTAATGACCTCTTGAGGTCACTTTTCAGCTTTATTTTCTAAGGTTTCTCTGTTAGACAGCCAATTTAACAAAAAAAACCCTGAACAAATGTGTCATAGGGCAATGACCTTTCTCTGTTGCTAACCCAGGCTAGGTTTGAGTCAACAACATAGAAGTGAATGTCGACATCTCTTATCACCAGCTGCTGAGCTGCTTCATCCTCTAGGCATGGTACTGTGCTATTAATGTAATAACCAAAAAAATTAAAACCAGGGTTATCTTTATATACATATTTACTACTAAAATAGCACTTTCATTACATCCATTGTTTCTAACAGTATTTGTATTTCAGGCAGCCAAGATAGGCAGCAGCTCAGAAAATTAATTGTAAAACCTATTACTAGTAACTAATGGGTGTTGAGTTCTGTTCAGACTTCTTAATTAAAAATATTCAATCTCTGCAAGCCAAAATGACTAATATACTTTACCAAGAGCAAACACAGCTTCAGTTCAAATACTAACCCCAGCTCAATACTGTCAGAGCACCACAAAGAGGAAGACCAAAGCACATATTGAAAACAGAAGGGAAAAAAGTGCCTGAAATAAATCTTGTAATGTCCAGCTTCATATTCCCTTTTCTATGTTTTAATGGTCCAAAAAGGTATAACAAGCTAACCTCTTAAAACTATTGTTCAGTTACTGTCAATGGGAACTATAGCTATGGTTTCAGCAAGCAGTCCAGCAATCAATCCTTCATTTCTGACTGGAATTGTATATCTGATATTTGTTTGACTTTTGGGAAGGAAAAGGTTATGGCTAATGTCAATCAACACAGTCCCATTTAGCCATGGCTGCACGATTTAGAACTCGGGTGATTAATCGGATTCCACAAGTGCCTCGAGGCCAGTGGATACTGCAAGAGACTAAAAGTTGGACCCTTCATAGCAATGGAGCTTACCGTTGTCCATGAATACAAAATGGGTTTACTTTCTTGGAAAACGATTTCGCTGGAGAAAGCTCACTGGGCAGCCCAACTACGGTAACCTTTGGTTCTTTCAAATACAGGGCAGTATGGGTGCTACGTAAGTCTATCTGGTCAACACCCACAGTGACATGCAGTTACACTACATCTTTTTTCTGCAAATCATTATTATATGGTCCCAGTAAGAAATGGACTGGATCTCATCAGATATTTTTTAGGAGGAATAACGACTTGTGTACAAGTTGGAAGGTGGAAAACCTGGCACTGATTTTAAGAGTCAAGGTTGATGGCTTTTCATGTAAAGCCTTTCTGAAGTGTTTATTTTTAATTATGCTACACACATAAACATTGTATAACCTGCCCTGCAGCCTGATATGTCTGTTTACATGTGGAAAGCAAATAGATATTATTAGGAGGGCTGTTCATGATATAAAGATCTCTCTTCAAGAGATCTTAATTTATTTTTAAATAGGCTACTTAGTGCATCAGTGAATGGCATTTGCTGTGCATTTAGACCCAGGGGACAAGTAAAAGATGACTCTGTGAAATTAGCTACTCCCTTTACTTTGCTGTGTTTTAAATCATGATTGTACTGCTGCGCACAGAACTCCCTCGGAGTTGGAGAGGCACCTAAGCTGAATGTTTCATAAATGTTGTGAACCTCAGCAACGTTCTACAAGCCCTCACTGAGACACTGCAAACCTTCACAATAAGTTCACGGACAGGCAGCCCCTAAATTTTAGAAATACTTTGATCGACAAGATGTTATGTTACAAGTATGTTTAAACTTTGAAAGAAAAGCAAATGCTTGCTTTCATGTTCAGCAAAGCACATAGTTAAATCTATCCCAAATCAAGTAGATTCTGTAGTATTCTCTTGGTATCCAATTGGATTTAAACTTCTTAACTAGTTTGCTGAAGTGGATCCATAAAAACAAGTGAGTTGTTCTAAAAGAAAAAATTACTGTAAAGAAAAATCTGAAAAAGTGGCTCCTGACCTCAGTTTTCTTATGCTTAGCCTCCCACTAAAATCCCTTGTGTTTTTCTTGAGGTTCTTTTCGACAAGAGTATTTCCTTATTGCATTTGGGTATGTTTTCAAAGCTATGTAAGCTGTCCTTTATTCTCAGAGACTTCTGGCTAAAGCTGTGAAAAACTACTTGGAAAAGTACTTCAGAATATCAAGATTACTTGCCTGACTTGAAGGTCTCATTACTTACGTCACACTTCAATGCAGTTAAATGAATCCCTTCTTCTCAAATCACTGTCTTTTTATAATTTCATTCACACATGTATTTGTAAAGAAGGGCAGGAAAAGACCAAGACATCCACTCAAATAAGTCATTGACGCAAGTAAGAGACAGGAAATGCCTTTCTGCTTTTGAGGAGGAAAGAAGTGTTCCTGCAGAAGCAGCCTCGGAGGCACTCACTCTGAATGCAAAAGCTACCACGTGCTGAATGTGACAGCAGGGTAAAGTGATGCTACGAATGCATTTTGGAAGCTCCCAGCACTCTGTAGCCTGATTTTCATCTGTTCTTCCCTGCCTGGCTCTTCCTGTTGGCATTTCTGGCAACTGCTAATAGGAACTGCTAACTGTAATGCCGTATGTAGTTTAGGCTACATGAAGCTGAGTCATGGTCTCCAACAAATGGCTTTATTTTATCTTGAGTCCAAGCTTCAATGCAGAGGACCTGCAGGAACCTACTGTCACTTTCACTGAAATGGAGTGGAGCAAAGGGACTTTTTTTTTAAACCATCTGACTCTTTTAGGACATATCCCTTTTTTGAAGCCTCTCAGAAAACTCTTCCTCCATTTTCAGAGGCCATATTTGGCAAATTTTGGTTTACCTCTCATTCTCATGTGTATTCTTATTAAAAATAGGTCAGAACAATGAGTTTTAAAATATGACATATCATTGATTCTTATGAATTTGTTTTCTAGATTCATATACTGCATACAGCCCAAGTTTAGAAAGCTTACATTTGTGAATGAAGGCTCCTGAAAGTCTTATAAGGAAACATACTGCTCTTGGACTTAGCTTTTCAGTAACCCCTTTCTCTATCCCCATATTAATTCTCTATTATGTGCAGTAAGCAGAGCTTTGCTGCCTTGACTGAAGATGATGGAGAACAGTGCACTCTTGTGGGGCAAAATTAACACCAGCAAGGAACAAAAATTCTACCTTTGCAGAAAATAACCTAACTTCATCCAAGCAGTTGAGTAGCTGCAGTAAGAGAGGATGAATACTGTTTCTTTTCACTGGGTGATTCAGGAGATGCACTGAGTACAGTAGCTTGGTTCTACATTTTTTTCCAAATGAAAATCTTTTGCTGTGCACTAAGAGTCTGTCTCTCTCACATCTCATGATTTTAATTCAAATAGTAAATTTAGAGAGAAGCAAAAAATCAAGAATAAAAGAACTAGTAATTTTCAATGGATTGAAAATCAATAGTACTTCTCACAAATGCTTTAATTTAGCAGGAAAGCTAACACTTCATGATCTTCTGACTCAACAAGACAATCTGCCACTTCAAGGAGCAAGCACACATACTATCAGGAACTACATGCTGCACTGCAACATGGAGAACTCAGTGTGACGAGACTTTCTGTAATCTGGCTTGTCTGCTACAAAATCTGCTCATTTCGCCAGTTTATTTTCTGTAAACCCAACAATCTATGGCGTCTGTATGGCTCAGACAATCAGTTATCAGACAGACAACCCTTACCTCCTGAATCGATAATTCAAATCCAAAGCAGTGACCAAAATCAATCCAATGCCCAAAGGTCATTGCAGTCTGATGGATACGTGGTGACTGGTATGAAATGAGTTTGTGGTTTCACTCAAGACATAACAGTCAACAGTCCTTTTAAGGGAAAAAAAAGAAAACATCTTCACAGTTCATACCATTTTCTGTGCTGACAGATTTTAAAGAGAAACACAGAAGTGAGGCTGAACCCTCTTTTCACTCCCAACAGTGTTGCGTCCAAGTGTGGGCTGACGGGTGTCCTTTGAAAAACTGTCTTGCTATCTGCTTTCTTTGGGGGAAAAAATAGAACTCTGTGCCCTTAATTCTTCATATGCACCAAAGTCAGCTGTAAATATGACCTACTAATTTGAAGACATGTCTTCTTTCCAGTCACAAGTATAAACCCAGAGATGTAAAACAATATATACAGCAAAAAGCTATCTTTAGTTCAATATATCTGATGGTCATTACCTGCTCCAACTACTTTATCAATGGATATATTAGAAGCTTCTAGTTCCTTGGCAAATTCATGCACAGCTTGATTGGGATCCTCATATGTATGCGGATCTACGTAAGTTCTCAGGCCTGGGAGTTTTACTGTGTAAAAACAAATTCAGAGAGAAAATGTTACTTAGACTTAATTAATACTTCTAAAGAAAGCTCATGAGACAATAGAAATCAAATCAATAGAAGAAAAAGGTATACTGCTTCTTCAAATCAAACTGCTTTTGATGGATCTTCAGGAATCTTAATATAGAGTGAAACCAGAGACACTAATGTAGTTATCACGCAGAAGTCTGAAAACCGATTTTAAATATATTTGCACTTTCCATATTCAACTGCTTTTCAAATATTAAAATACTACCCACCCCTCCCAGCTTGCTACGTTTAGATGCTGCCTTATATTGTCCCTTTCAAGGTAACAACAAAGAGGCAAGGAACAAAATGTGTGTTGTTACAGTCAACCTGAAAAGTTCTTAGGAATACATTAAGCAGAGCACATCAACTCAAACTTTTTCTTTCCGACTCCTCCAACAAGATGGATAAGAAAAGGAAATTATACATGAACAAATGCACCTGTGCCTCAATCCCTCTGCTAGTACGTACAAGGATGGCAGCCAGTTGTTCTTATTACTAAAGTCTGGTTCTAGCGCTCAGTTACCCTAACATCCACGTTGTTATTTTGTCCCCCTCTAGAGTTTCCTGGCCAAGGATTGTACTGTTTGCCCCGGGCAAGCGCTAGTTCAAACAACTGAATGATTTTAAGGGCAGTTTCAAGCTCTCTACATCTCTTCCTCCAGCAGGACTGGGTGTGAGAGGAACATATTATCATTCCCAACCTTTCTCTCCAGCAAAGATGCTGAAGGCAAAGCATAGCCTCATTCCCCCTCCCCGGCTCAAGGCCCTGCTTGTGCTTGTACCCGGTACCTTGTGTGCCTGCCTCTGTACTCATTTTAGAACACAAAGATGTTTTGTTAACAAAAAGTGAAATAACCGTTACATCCAGCTTGAAGCTTTCTGCTTCTGACACAAAACCTGCGTTCCTGGACATGTATTCTAGCTTTTCCTAACTGTACCAGTTGGTCTTGTAAAAGATATTAACTCCTCCTACAAACACTGCCTTAACCCACTCAGGAATATCCTTTTCCAGCTTGGCATTATTATACTGCATCAATTTGTTGACTGCTAGAATAGTTAAACCTTTTTTGCTGGGGTAACACAGATGGGAAAAAATACCTTTGGACCATTAGTTAGAGCACACCATTGTTTTGTCAAACAATCCCAAGTGTATGTAAAAAAAAAAAAAAAAAAAAAAAATCAATTTTATGGAGATTTACTGGCCTCGGAATTGACAAAGAAATGATAAAACTCAGTTCCCAAGCTAATTGCCTTGAAAACAATGCAAACCGAGAGCCATGCTCTTAACACAAGGGCTGCGTGTGCGCAGCATTAAATGCCAACTGTGTTTCCTTCAAGAGCCTGATGATTACAGAATTACTTGCATGTAAAACAAAAAGTAATTGGCTGTATATTGCTGTTGGTTAAAAATCTTGTAAATGCTCCTTTCTGTCCATGCTGAATGTACATTACAGGCTCCCTCATACCCTCAATAAAAATAACAACAATTAAAAGTTTCTGCACTGTGGGGTTTTTGGCTGCAGATTTTTAATGCTGACCCCAGAGGTTCCCAAGATCAGGTGATGGTGACTGCAAGGAGAATAATCCCTTCACACCAATAATTAAGGGCAGCCTGTATAGTAACTGGGTTCTGTCATGAAAAACAGATAATAAACACATGCACATGTGTTAAGCTGTACTACTTTACAGCTCATTCTGTGCAAACATAATAATTTACATTTTCATTTTAACAGCATGAATAGCCCTAAAGGTAGCAAAAAAATAAAAAGGGCCTAGCCAAAGAAGGCAAAGGGAGAGGATCTGAGGAGGTGAAACATTTTTGCTCCTTTGAAGTAATATTATAGGATTTGTAATACGGCTGCAGGGAATAGTTCATGGCTGGAGCTTTTTTAAAAGTAATTCAGAATAAACTGACTGAAATAAACCAGCTGCTGTATTTAAGATGCTGAAAGTTTACGACAGCCATGGAAGTTACTTTATCCTTTTTTAGTTCACAGGAACAATTTTCTTATTCTTTGAGAAAGACTGTAATTTAGTAGAAAAAAGTTTCAACAGCAACACACGTCCATACATACAAATCCTAACAGACAAATATCTGCAAAATCAATAAATCATTTTCAAGAATTTCTAACAGAAATACCAGGACCACGATCAGCTCTGTTCTTACTACACAATGAATCAGCATGGCACTACTCAGAAAACAGTACATAAATATCTAAAGCCAAATTAAAAGCAATTTAATCCACAGGAATTTAACAGCACTGACATGTTTAAGGATAGTGATTGCAACTTTCCATTGTGTGGGAGTAAGGAGAGCAAATTCTGACCTGTTATTTGTCTGTGACACTTTTTTTACAGGCTGCTTTTATTTTATAACCTCATTAAATTTGGATGATGAAGCATTAATTGTATGGGCCACATGTAACTGTGTAGATTTTTTCTGAGACTAGTTGGTTAGCGGTTGTTGGGCTGCACGAAGCAAACCCACTGTTACAGCTTGTGTATCCCCTGACAGTGCAGGGGAAGGAGCTCACGTGTTGTGGATATGCATGCTCACGGCTCTCTGGAGATAAGGAGGGGCTCCAAACTTAAAATAATAATACTATGAACAGCCAGAGAACAGTCACTCCACTGTCATGGGGATTAGGAAGCAGTTCTAATTTCCAACTACTGCAGGTAAATCCCACATTAAAATGTTAATTCAATTATATTTGGTGAGGAGGCATCTGAATATAGTACCAACAGCTCTTTTCTTGCAGATGGTACAGTGCCACTGTTGTGTGCAAAACACCCACGTACATTAACCTTACAACGTGCTAAGCAATAGCAATATATGGTTCAACATGGTTTACATGGTGTAGCAGGATATTTATCTGGAGCTGAAACAGTTTCAAAGACAAACTACTGCTTCTTATTAAAAACATGCTCATTAGACACCAAGAATTCTGTGGGTGAAAAGGAGGAATTTCCAGTCTTGGTGTTTATGAAGGGCGTTATCTTCGCCCTGTAAGGATGAAAAAAATCCAAAATGCAGTGATAAAAAAACCAAGAATCCCCCCCCTACTCCTGATCAGGAATGTTAAACTATCACCTTCTTCTTCCCTCAGCTTCTCCTACTGCAAAACTAATTTATTTCTATTTTAAAGAGGGTATGGATGGAGCTTTGACTGTGATCTAGTCTTCACGATCCAGACCTCCTCTGCTATGGAAAAGTGCTGCAGGGTTATGCACATTGCAGAGAGGATCTAGGATCAGAGAGGAGCTGAAATACTGCAGGACGACACTCCCCTCCAGCCACTGGCCATAGCAAACTACTTCTTCCTGGTAGACAGGACACGTGCCCAGACTCAGAAAATCAGCACTTCCTCCCCTGAGCGTCTCTTGGATGGGATCTTGCTCCACACTGTTCCTTTCACAGGGCACAGCCGAACAACCCAGAGTAGCCATGAATAAAGCCCCATTTAGCCTTATTAAAATAGGTAGACAAACGTCAGAAACAGGCTTCGGGTCTGGCTTTTGAACATGTTTCAAAAGTAGCCCAGATTCTTCAGGATGAAAAAAATCTCACATCCTTAACTAGATAAAATTTTTGTGATACAAAGGCAACACAAGTCAATGGAAAGGCTCTCCTCTTAGTTCTGGATGAGATCCAAAGAAAGCACAGACATTCTTACAAGTGGGGAATCAGGACTTGAACAAAACGCGTTTGTAAACAGAGCTGGATTAAAAAAATCCCATTAATTTGTGAGACACTTGTTTAGTAGTTACTTTTAATTTAAGAAACTACTCTGAATCACTTTTCAGCCTAAGCTTAGAGTAACTCCAAACTAAATTATTAGTGGGTCAACTTTGTCAAGCAAGCAATTTTCACAGTCCCTGCAGTAGTCATCAAGACAGGTTTCATTGATTTTATATTTTGCTTTGGGAAAAAAAAGTCATTTCTTAGACTTTATACAGCTGATAACGAGGTAGTTGAAGTTACACTCTGCATTTCAGTAATGCACAGCAGAATCAGTATCATATTGCTAACCACACGCATTGTTTGAACATAGACAGCTATGTTTTGCTCATTACTAACCTGAACACAGATGAAAGAATTTGAAACAAAGGATAATTGTTTGGGGAAAACCTCCTTACCCACAAGAGAAGAGATAATTCTCTTCCCAATTTCACCTTCGTTTAAGTGAGGTATCACTTTTTTTTTTTTTAAATTGAAAAATACCACTTATCTAGGGGATTAATTCGACAGATCTGGAAGCATTAAAAGGCTTCAGTAACTTACAATGGCCATTCCCAAAATGTAGTCTTTTCTCATCAGTGCCATGTTTAGACTTCTTGTATCCACAGAATCTACAAGCAACAGAGAAAAAAAATTAATATAGAGAATTTTACGTTAACTGCAGGTGGAAACAGAATAAAATGTTTTCCCTCCACAATTAAATGCCTGTTTGAAAGTTTAATGATATTTACATTCTCTGTGCCCTATAGAGGCATGTTATGTTCTCAGGGAATTTGAGGAAATTGGCTAATGAGAGGATTTGTTGATTTTTGACCCCTACAGTTTAATTTTACAATTGCCTAAGAATGTGTTTATAGCATTTTTTAACAACTGCTTGCATGACTGGGGCTGCTAACGTTAGCGGGCTCATTACTGAGCATGAAGTGGTATTCGGAGCTCCTGGGCAGCAGACAAAGGAGAAGGTGCAAACCAGCCACGCTACTGCCTGATGACACCCAATTTGCCATGCTCATCAAGGCTGCTCGGGGAAATGGAAGTGGGAGTAAATGTGCAAACCAGATGATAAACTAACCTCCCAATCAAGACGTACACCACAACTGTGAGGAGAATAATGGCTACTGCCGCTGAAATGGCAATCATTACGACCTGGCTATTCTCACTGGAAATGGAGAATGCTGGAAAGTTAACACAAAAATATATAAATAACCACACACACACATAACATTGATTACATCACAGTTGACACTCATATAGGGAACAGACAGATTAAGTCATCACTATATAGCATTTGGTCTCCTGCCAAATATTTAATCTACTAAGTAATTTTTCATCAGACAAATAAATACAAGGGAAGAAAACAAAAGACTCTGGCCACCTTTGACAATTTACCAAAGTTGTTTCTGCTACTGCTGATTTTTACTCTCGCTGATTGTAGTAACTGCTGTTCAACTGATACTTATATATAAACATATATGTAAACACAAACATACATTCCATGACATACATATATTTTGTCATGGTCAGTAAGGAATTTTTCCTTGGCAAGAAATCCCAGCCAGTCAATAATCATCACCCTTACTCTCACTTCTGTATGACGGAAAGTGCTTTAATGAATTAAGCTTCCCAGTTAAGCTTGACAGTATTCCCATGAAGGCTGTGAAAAGCCAGGGCACACAGAAGCAGATAGAAGGAGTATCCATGGTTAATCAGTGCCTATAGGAAAAAGAAGGGCTATTTTCTGCCTTACGTTGGATGCTTCCCTGTGGTCCCTAAGCATGGAGCTTTGGTGCGCTAGACTGCTATACAATGACAGGACACCTTTAGATCTTAGGCGTTATGAACGACCTTCAGCAGGCGCCTATCCAACTTCACTGAGCACAGGAGAATTAGGCTCCTCAGCACTATGCTTCAAGTCAGCTGTCCGAACTGAGCTGAAAGCTAGCACTCCTGGTCCCCACAAATTAGACAGTTTGTGTACGTGACTGCTTGGAGTCACACCACTTCCCTTGGGAAGAAGCCTCTGCCTATTATAGACCTATAACGGCACTCGCGAAGTTATGATAACTTGGCAATAGGATTTCTTGTCTATCTGAGTAACCTGTATGCTCGTTATTGAGATGTGCACCACTGTCTCCTGTCACCTGCCACATTTTCAGACAGCTACTTTTTCCTTTTTTATTTTAATATTACTTTGCAGAGAAAACTCATTAACCTCTAAATTATGAAATTTATCACTGCAACTGATTTTTTTCTCCTTGCTGTACTTGTTTGTCCTATCTTGAGTTCCAGTTTCATCCAGTATGCCAAAGCTCCATGTCACCATACCAGTGATTTGTAACTATTTTTTTAAACAAGAAGCTTGTTTGCTTTTCAGAATACGAGCTGAGGTGGGCGAGGAAGAAGTAGGGATGGAATACAGAACATATCTCAAAAATACATGGATGCCAAGTGAAAGACCATTTGGCTTGATGCTACTCTTGGTTAAAAATTTGTTGCTTTTAGCAGAGCACTTCTTACACCATGGGTTCTCAAGCCTTATAATGAGTACATGAATAAGCTTTATGAGAGTGTATCAGAATTATAGTCCTTAGTTGTGTTATAACTCTGAACAGCAGATATCAATCTTCTGCGAAAGCCTGACCTTCTAAAAAGCACAGTCTCTGATTACGCATCATCAGTCTACATCGGTAACTGGGTACCTAAGCAAAGGCTGACTTTTTGATGCATTAAGCCACTTTCAGCTTCTAGCAAAGAGAAGGTCTGATTTACTATATAGTACCAAGTGATAAGAAAGTAACATTTAAGACTATGAGCTCTATTAAAAGTCTTTCTGATATAATAACAGAACTGGTAAAGAATACTTATAAGGTCATCAGTTAAATAATGTTATTATCTAGGCATTAGAGAAAAGAAAAAGGAGTGCTGGACCAGTAAATAACTTCCCCAAGGCCACCCAGAAATGTAGTGACAGAGAGGAGAAGGCACCCAAACAGCCCAACTCCCTAACCAGCTACTCAACTGAATGACCATCCCTTCCCGGCCTGTGCATATTAATTTCATCTCAAGGCTACATAGGAGACATCAGCAATGCTCCGCAGTAGTACGGAGAATTACACACTGACCCACAGGAGTAATGGACCAATATAATATTAATTCTCTAGGAGCAGGGGTTTATAGTCCACAGGGTTCAGGCCACAAACTTGGAACAGCACAAGGCTGTGAATCTGTTTTTCTATCAAACTTCCTCCCTTGGCAGGAGCCGTGTTCTAGCAGGGTATCAATTCTGGCACGAGGCAGAGATCAAGTAGGGAATGGAAGAAAATACCACCTGTGATAGTCATGGTATACTCTTTATAGCATGTTTCAAGTTTAGTGATAAAATATAAAGTTATATAGTAACACTACCCAGAAAGACACATCATAAATAGTTATGAGTCGCATTTACTAAACTAGAAAAGGAGTGAAAGCAGCCATTCAGATCAGTCAGAAACTGGGCAGGATGTCAGTATAAACCATTAGAACAAACACATACAATCTGGACTGGTTTCAAATTCAAACTTGCGGCTGTTTGTCCCATATCCAGCTGCAGTTCGGGCTCGAATTTGGAAGACGTAGGTGGTATCAGGTTTGAGGCCGCTGATGGTAACATTGGTGCCTTTGGCTCTCAGAATAGTATAGCTTGTCTCTTGTTCCTGCTTTTGGGAAGAGAAATTATCAGATTAAAACCACACCCTAAAAAACAGAAACAAGAGGTGGTTGGTACAAAATTACTACACGTCACCTGGAGAGCAGAGGCATTTTTTTGAATATTTATAGCCTGACAAATGGTTGTACAGCCATTCATTTTCAATCAGCTAAAAATCTTTTGATTAGCAAGAAATCTAAATCATTAGAGCTTCTACGACCTTGTGCTGTAAATCAAATACTAGACATGCTGAGTATATGACATTTCATTAAATGGCTTTGCATCATTTTGTCCATAGTCTGCAATACAACAAGAAAATGAAGATTAAAACGTTACTTAAAAATCATAAACCAGATTTGCCTACTGCACTGAACTGGAAGTTGTAACAGGCCAACTTAGACATTTTAGGGCCCTGCAGAGCTACTGCAGGATGCAATTTTTACTGCCTCACATTTTACAAGACAGTGTTTACCTTTATAACAGTCAGAAAAGAAACTCCACTCGGGCTCCTCACCTCAGCTCTGCAAACAGGCAAATATAATTGGTTTTCTATTATGCTATAAAAACTATGAGATTCATGCGTCCATCCTCATGTGGACAAAACCCCACTGAACTTGCTCCTGAATGAGTCTTGGGCTTTAGTAGCCAGAAAGGAAATGTGTTTGCTCCTTACTGCTTTTTGCTGAAGAGCAAGGTAGCATCCCCAGTACGGATGATATGCTCACAGCCACACTCTGCTTAACAGTCACATATTTCTGATATAATGACTTTTTTTATAAAATAAGAAATGAACCATTTTGTAATTTAGTAAGTTTGGATACACTTCACACTGTGTAAAAAGCTAATTCTGATAAAAGTGTGTCTCAGTCCCACTGTAAGCACATAGTCTAAAAAATTAAGCATGCATTTGGAGCTTGAGGTATTGCTTATTTTACTAAAGCCATCCTGTACCAAAAGAGCATTTTTGGCTTCCTAAAAATGGCGACTGGAACTGCCTCAGAAAAAATCTTGGACAGCAGCCACACGTGGGGAACTGTGAGAATCTCAGTTGTTTAGGTTCCCAACCAGGAACTTTTTTATTCCGAAGGTGGTGGGCATTTCATATGCCGCCCTTTTACTTTGAACACTCTGAAATACACTAAAACCATTGAGTTTTGCCTGGTTGAAAGCAGAAACTGAGTTAACGTATGTCGGATGCAAACAATCTCACCTAATTCCCACTGTGTTTTATGGCATTGCATTAGCTTGCAAGGTACTGACATTTTAACTTTGATAAGATTAGAGTGCCAATGCACAAGTACAGAGCTTGGAAAATACTCAACACACTCATTGTCAAAGCCATCTCACCTTCACGTGAAAAGTTCAAGTGACTAGAGTCGTTTTAGTGTGTTTGCTCTGCAGTGCTGTCTAGAGTAAGAAAGTTAGGTTTATTCTAAGTTAGTGGGTAGACATCAGAAACTGCTCACTTTAGTGCTACAGAAGTCTAGCTACCCTGTTCTTGGCAGTCTTTGATACAGAGAGAAACAGAAGCATTTACACTATGGTTAGGGAAATTGCCAGAATTTCCACATAATATTCAACATTTCTATCAGAGAGTTTATTGGCATATGAGGGAAAGGAGGGAAGGAGGGGGGGGGGGGGGGGGGGGGGGGGCAGAAAAAAGAAAAAGTAGCTGAGCCTGTGCCTAAAAGTTACCATCCAGAATCAAAACCTCACTTAGGGTCAGCTGGACCTAGTCTTCAAAGAATGACTATAAAAATGTTTACCATGGCCCATTTTCTTTGCACACTAAAAATATAAAGCAAATCAGCATTGGACCGCCTCATAGTTTCCCAATACTTCTCTGAAAAAGTTTTCTGTTATAAATTCAAGGGAGAAAATTTACAGGAAGACATTCTAAGGAGCTAACAGGTTTGCGTAAAATTATTTATTTTTGAGCTAACAAAGGCCTAGTAGTATAATTTGCAGGCTTTCCTTATCTCATCATTCAGCTGAATGTAGGCAACTCTTTTAATTTCAAAGACATAATAATCTTGTCTTTAAAACAAAATCTTTTGTGTATGCTACGACTGGACATTCATTTTGATCTCACTTCTGGCTGCTTGTATGAAATGCAAACATTTCCTTCTTGTGCAGATACATACGTGCAAGAGAAAATATAGTCATGGTGCTGTCTGTTAATAATCCGCAATGGAACTTGGAAAATAAACGTTTAGAACAATGGTATGGAGGATGTCATGGTATCTTAGTTTATGGTAAGCTTTTTACACACATATTTTGTAAGTCATTTTTTATGTTACTAGTAATCAAATCAGTGAAACACCACATAAAAGCCCAAGTTTATCTTTCTTGGGGATGAAGTAAAACTTCAGAGATACAGCACTATAGCTGCCATAAGCAGAAGGAATATACAAAAACCAGAGTCAGTCTTTGCCAAGCAGAACTTTAATCAAACACTCTGTTTGATGATAAATTTGAACTTGGATGCACAAAGCGTATTCTTCCTGAATATTTCTGCATAGTTTACCAGACACAATCTTTACTGAGAAGCAAGTCCCACTACTGTTAGTGTCTCATTTGCAAATGACATTTTATAATTTTAAACTATGTTTTACAAAAGACATATTTTGGATACATTTAACATTTATAGTGGCAGTACTAGTGAGAGTGAACGGTATGTCCTTTTTCAAATAAGCACAGTAGGTGTTTATACTGTATGAGGAAGAACATTTTCCCCACCAGCTGCATGTACACTTGAGAGGCCAAAACCAGTCTACACATCTTCGGGAGGAGCGCAGAGTCCCGATACTGCTTCCCCTTATTGCCAGGCGTGAACTGTTCGTCGATACAGTTCCTACAAACGTCGTGGAGTATACATGGCCTACCTACCCTCAAAGCGAGATTAATAAGAGTTTAAAAGCAACTAAGTGCATTTGCATATAATTTACTTTTTCAGCCTCAGAAAGAGCACAAACTAGGTATCATTATTTATTTGTTGGCTTTAACCAGTCTACGGAGCACACAATTTCAATGATGGCAAAGGCAAATCTATTTTAGTAATGTGAGACTGCAATTAAATTTCACTCATTGTTTGCAGCAGACTTCACCTTAATAAAGTGTGTGGGATTTAGTTATCAGAATTGTAAGCCACATATTTAAATGAAGCAATTAATAGTTTGTGTGTGGTATTTAGGAGACGGCTTTTTTTTGCATGACAAGATACTCCTTCCAGAGAACATAATTATGTGAGCAAGGACAAGGATGAAACAAAGTATCTGCTTGCGTAAGAAAAAAAGCTGACTGTTGTTATACGGGCACTTTGACGGCTGAGACAGTTAAAATCCAGCATAGCCTTATATGGATGGACTAAACTGGGGTGTCATTTGGTCCCACTAACTTAACATAAAATGTTATGCCCTGCCATAAAATAAATGCCTAGAAGTTCCATACAGTATTCCTCTGAAAAAGGATTTTATTTCTTTTAAATGTTTCGAATAAATAGTAACTGGGGTCTCAGAACCAGGCCCTATAGATTTTTACAGAGAATACAATTATATTCCAAACAGCGAGTCTGAAAAACTGTTGCTCTCAGTTCATAATGTTATGCCTTAAAACCCCATAGGTTCATTCCAAAAAGTTAAAACAGTCTCCCAAAACTGTAGCTCCTAATTTCTCTAGAAACATCACATAAAGCTCTATTCTCTCTTGGTTACAACAAGTGAAATCACTGGTGAAAAAAAAACTGAATAAGTGAATTAATTACCCTTGCAGAAAATAAATATTTTCCACATACGTTATGCCAATAATGCGTTAGAAAAACTACATATCATCATAATTTAGATACAGGACATTCTATTTTTATTCCAAATGTATTCTAACATCCTGAATATCAGTAACACGCAGTTGCCCATAAATATCACGTATTCTTTGAAATTTAAGAACAACTTAACAAAGTAGCAAAACCCCACATTTGCAGGGACAAGGTGTATGACAGAATTGGGTTGACCTGTATTACTCTATTAACACTGTATTTATCAATTTCCAAGAGATTACAAAAGGTATGGCAAGTAAAAACAAGCAGGAGGGAAAAGAATGGCTCAACATAAATCATCTACCAGCCATCAGGTACGACTTGTCAGGAGGAATACTGAGATTGCTAACTGTGAAGGGTTTATTTCCTAGCAGCTGTCACTTAACAGCAGTGGGTTTTTTGATGAGCACAACCAAGATGATTTCTGAAGCAGAAAACCAAATGGACTGGACCAGTTTAAAAAGAAAGCTCTCCTTTCAAAAGAGGAGGAGAGGGGGGCTGCTTAGAGATCTCAGACTGAAAAGCAGCATCTTCCAAAGGTGTTTGGAGAAGAAATGAAGAGTAACAGTCCAGCATGGGCTGCTCTGACCTCATGTAAGTTTATCATGCATAGAGTAGTAGTTTTCAACCTTTTTCAATTTGCAGACCTAGAAAGGGCAATGGATTAAAGCCTCCTGACAACAGATTTGCTTTTCTTAGTTACCTTTCATAAACCCTGAGGAATAGGCTTCAGACTCCCCAGGGGGCTGCAGACCACACATTAAAAAACACTGGTGTCAGAAGGTTGTTTTTTAAAAACCCTTTGCTCTAAATGGTCTGGCTCCTATTGTCAAGCAGTTGGCTCTTTGGTTTAAGAAAGCTGTCTGGTGCATATGAACTCTTGATCACAGACTTCAAAGGGAAGAAACACATGTGCAAGATCAGCCTCGTATAACTGGTTGTCTTATGAAGCTGTCTTATGACAACCAGTTGCTCCGTCATATACTCAGTGGGAATAGCAGCCGCATGCTCAGTCTGTGCATACAACAGTACTGGAAGGTGACAATTTTCTTGAATAAAGCAAGCCAATTTCAGTGTAGAATGATGATCAAAACACCGCAAAAAAACAAACACACAAATAAAATTTCTCAGTTGTTCAATTAAAATGAACTAAATGCACACAAGGGGAAAAATTCTCCCTTTGGAGCAACTAAAACCAGAGCTTCAAAGGGAAGAAACACATGTGCAAGATCAGCCTCGTATAACTGGTTGTCTTATGAAGCTGTCTTATGACAACCAGTTGCTCCGTCAGACTGGATATACTCAGTGGGAATAGCAGCCGCATGCTCAGTCTGTGCATACAACAGTACTGGAAGGTGACAATTTTCTTGAATAAAGCAAGCCAATTTCAGTGTAGAATGATGATCAAAACACCGCAAAAAAACAAACACACAAATAAAATTTCTCAGTTGTTCAATTAAAATGAACTAAATGCACACAAGGGGAAAAATTCTCCCTTTGGAGCAACTAAAACCAGAGCGATCGCCCTAATGCCATGATGTGTAACACACCTGCGAGTTACATCCTGCACCCCATGGTACTCGCGCAGAGCCGACCAGGCAAGGACTTCCACTTGGGGAGGCTGGAGGTGGAGCTGAGTCGGGGCTGCCGCAGCTCTTGGAAAACAAAGGTACGGCCAAAGGCAGCAAGAGCAGCCAGGCAGGTCTCAAATGAAGCACAAGTTAATCATGCAGATAAATAACCTGGCCTGTGCAAAACAGGCTGAAGTTCTGGGATCTTTCAGGCGTAGGCTCTTTCTGAGGTAAATAGCTCTTCCAAGCCTTACTAAAAGGCAGTATCTATTTTCTTTTCTTTAAAAAAAATTGGAAACAAGAGAGCCTAAATAATTCCTGTGTCCCCTTCAGTGCTGAGGATGTACAAATAAAGGCAATCTGATGTATAAGCCAGTTCTCTTCTACTTCTCAAGTCCAGGATCCAGACTTGATCCTGTCCCCATTGAAACAACAGAAAAAAACCAAAGTGAAAGTCTATAGGCTGCTGATCTATAAGGTGAGACTGAACTGAAATGTGTAGGAAGCTTTCTTTTTCCCCTTTTATCAGTAGTGCTACGTATATTCAGATTTTTACCAAGGTCTTTGAAGGTTCTAGTGCTCACCAAAAAAACTCCACCCAAAGTCAGATGACATATTAATTTGGGAGAAATCTTTTCAGAATACGGCCTTCCGATCCCCATTCTTTGGCTGGAGATAAGGCATAGACTATCAATACCACATTGTCCCACTGGTAAACTCCATGAGAAAACTTTCTAAAGATTAACTGAATACCTGTGGAGTCTTTTTAACAGCAGTTTCTGAGTGGATATTGGCACCACATCTTCCCTGGTACGTATGAAACATAAGCCTGATTTCTAGATATGGACAGCATTAGTAAATGCTAAATTAAATCATTATTTCTGCCATTTTTTCAAAGTTTGTCAACTTCAGTAGCAATACATTCTATCAAAAGGTCTCTCTGACCAATCTAAAAATGGCTAATACCACTATTCACAATCTTCACAACAATTTATGGTCTTTTCAATTTTACCAGTAAGATTTACTAAAAAAACCCATTCTGTTATGACAATTTATTTTTTTCCTAAATACAGATCTATATATGATGTGGAAATCAACAGCTGTAAATACAAGAAAATGTCAATATAAAGCAGAACCTATTAAATGGCAGATTTTCTTTGATTTGTAGCTATTTACATAAAATTTATGAAGAATTCAGTTATTCATGAAAAGTGAAAACTTTCACTAAAAGGACTGCCCATCTCTTTTCCAAATCATTTTTGTGTAAAAGATACTTGCATCACAGGGAAGCACTAACACATGGACACTGACAAATAAATGTATGAACACTGACAGCATAACAGAACTGAGTAAGTAAACTGTACTCAAAAAAAAAAAAAAGATCTTACAGCTTGTCTGCATTACTTTCTGTATCTGTTCTGATGTATTTGGGGATGAACTTGGTAGACAACACAACTTAACAATTTCATTTCGTATTTTCATGATGTTCTCCTTACCAAAAACTGAACAGTTTCAACACTTGGTGTCATTGAGGCAGACAGTGAGTGGACAGGGGTGTCTCTGAATACTTAACATAGGCAAGATGCAATAATTTCATTACAGTATTACCAGCACAAAACCCTCCCTTTCAATCTTTCTTCCCACCTTTTCATAGTATTTGACCTCGTAGTCCAAGATGATCCCATTCGGATGTTCAGGTTCTTGCCAAGACAGAGACACGCTGTTCCTGGATGTCCTGTCTTTCCTTATGACTGTGATGGGGGATGGGGCTGTAAAGGGGATGGGGGGAGGCGGGAAGAGAGAAAAGCAAACTGAGTTTATCTCTGTTCCAATCCTTGGCAAAGAGTACTGTTTCCATTTAAAAGACTCATGAACATAGGTCTGGACTTGTATCAACATTCAGCAGCTGGATTATAGTCCTAGTACACATGCCTTAAAGCATACTGGCCTCAAGGAAAATGAGCTGAGATTTTCTGTTAGACTGGTGGACCAGTGGCAAGACAGCAGATGGTTTCGATCTGCTACTACAGTGTAAGCAATGAAATACATTTGATATTCTAAAATAGAGAACAAAATAACAGTACTACCTATTTGTTATAATGCTGAAGTATTATCATTACCAGACTCTGCAGAACTCTGACAACATTTTCATATGCAAGTGTAAAACGGTGCTGGGGTGCATTACGTACAAGGAGCTCCTGGTATCCACGGCTAGTAATAACCATCAGCATACTGCAGAATACAGCCTCTTTTGTAACATTATTTGGTAAGCTCTCCAGATACAAATTGCTCCCATATACACTTCTCCTTTACCACATTTCTTTGAAAATGAACTTTGAAGAAAAAAATCTGAACTGCAAAATAACCTCATTTCTGATGTGTATTAGTTAGGCATGACAATTGATTCCATGTCACAGACTCACCCACCACCCAAAACTTGGAAGTACTATCAACGTTAGAGAAAAAAAATCATAATTACCTAAGATCCTTGAACATCAGTTCGGCTTTAGACCACCCAGCTCTACGTGTTCTTCCAAGACCAGACCTAGGTTTCCTGGACTCACTGAAAGCTATGCAATTTTTAAAATTATTTTTTCTGTTTCTTTTGGGTTGGCTTCCCACTTCAAATGCTTCTCTTCCATGGCTTTGGCCAAAATTCATCAGATGATAGCTTACAGATCATACATTAAAGGTCGTAACTGTCACTTTAAAAAAAATCTTTTACCAATAAACAGCCTTTTATCTTATCATGTAAAACAAATGTGTTTATAAGTTCAACATTGTGCTAGCCTAATAAAAAGGCTCTAGCTGATCTAAACAACTTAATTTCAGCTGAATCCTACGAAGCTTTTACTGTTCGTACAAAACTAGTTGCACTTTACAGGCATTACACTTTTGCATGCATTAGCCAGTGCCCTTTCTGTTTGGGTTTTCATTCCTGCAAGAGAACTTTCAAAAGCCAGAAAAAAAAGAAGTTTTAATTAAAATAATTTTGGGAAAATTCATTCTGTGTTTGATTTTGCTAAACTTCCATCAAAAGATACCTTCTAGTCTTGAGTCATAATCTAAATGTTGACAACCTCCTTTAATTGAGTAGAGCATCTAGAAAGCTACATACACCCACACAAGCACATATGTATATACACACTTCCACATTCGTTTTGGGTTGAAACACATCCTCTGAGTAGCATTTTCCTGTCACATGGTTCACAATAGCTTTCTGAGAAGATTAAAAAGTTGCAAAAATCCCTTTTTTTTTTTCTTTCTTTCTTTTTTTTCCCAGCAGGAAGAATTTATCCTGAATTTAAATTACTGAAATCAGATTTTGGAGGGTTTTTGCTTTGTTTTGTTTTG